GGGGCTGCAGCAGCCCGGCTGCCGCCTGCGCATCCTGCAGTGAGTGGCCCCGGCACCCCCGGGCATCCCCCCGGCATCCCACGGGCATCTCCCAGGCGGCCAAACCCACGGGGTGGAGTGGAGGGCTGGGGAGGTACCCCAAAAAAGTCCCTCCAGGGTGGCATTGTCCCTCTGTTCCACTCTCCCAGGGTGAGGAGCTCGAAAGCAGTGGCACCGGGGTGGGGACCGTCACCATGGTGGGGTGGCACCGGGGGGGCCCTTGGGCTGGCTCTGAGTGTCTTTCCCGTGGGTCTCCGGCAGGCTGTGGTACTCCCGCCTCACCAGCGCCTGCTGTGAGGACCTCGCCACCGTGCTGGGCACCAGCCCGCGCTTGGAGGAGCTGGATTTGTCCTTCAGCGAGGGGCTGCGCGATGCTGGCATGCAGCTGCTGTGCAAGGGGCTCCAGCGCCGTGCCTGCCAGCTGCAGACGCTGCGGTAAGGGGCCGCAGGGCCGGCGTTCCCTCCATCCCACCCGGAGCAGCTCACCAACCGGCCGGTCAAACCCCGCATCCCTGTTTGCCTTGGTCCTGCAGGCTGGGGAGCTGCCGGCTGACCGGCGCCTGCTGCCGAGCCCTGGCCACCCGGCTGGTGGAGAGCCCCCACCTCACCTGCCTGGACCTGAGCGACAATGAGCTGGGAGCCGACGGCGTCCTGCAGCTCTGCCAGCAGCTCCGGCATCCTGCCTGCCCACTGCGGGCACTGGGGTAAGGTGCCTGGCACGTCCCCCTTATGTCCCCGGCATCCCCGCGCTGGCACCCCAGGGTCGGATGCTGCGGCACAGGGAGGGGGATACCAGCATCCCGGCGCCCAGGAGAGCCGAGGGTGGTTTAACGGCGCTTCTCCTTTCCTCCCTCTATTTAAAGACTGAGCACGTCCGGGTTAAGCGAGGAAGCGCTGCAGGAGCTGGCCGCCCTGCGGGCACTGAAGCCCGACTTGAAGATCGGGAACCTCCTCAAGCAGGACGTGCCACAGGCGGGGGCCATGGCCCGGCTGCCCTTCCACGGGGGCCTGCGGCGCGTGGAGGCCAGGAGGCAGGAAGGCGCTCCCCTCCTTTAGGAGAGGTCCTTGCAACAACCGGAGCCATTTCTAGCCCAGTTCTCGGTGCTGCTGAAGGCGAGGGGGAAGCCTCCCGGGGTTTGAGCCCGCCCCACGCGTGGGGGGACAGGGGAGGAGGTCCTGCCTGCATCTGCTGGGGGTCAGGGCAGAGCCGGTCCAGGTCCTTCCCTCTCCCGTTTCCCCACGCGTGTCGGTGGGAATAGTTGTGTGGGTGTTTGCCGATGCCAAATAAAGGCCCCGGGGCCAGTCCCAGGAATCCCCCTGTGCTCTTCCCCATTCTGCCCCCCTGTCCCCGCCATGCCCAGGGACGCATCTGTGGGTCCAGCTCCTGCCCCAAGTCTCCAAGGGATGGCTGATGTACCCGGGAGCAAGGTGCCAGCCCTGGAAGTGAGTCTCCAGACAGTTTTGGGTTTTAATAGAGAAAAAAAAAGGAGAAATTCAAAGTGAAATTAAAAAATAATCCCAGCGGCGCTGCTCGCGGGAGGGACACGGGAGCCGTTTTGCTGCTGTGCTGTGGTCCTTGGGCAGGGAGAGGTGACCTCCGTGGCCAGGGCCACCCCTTCTTGGGGACAGAGGCCCACCACCCTGCACGCGTGTCCCCAGGGACTCCGGTGGTGTGGCCGGGGCATCCTCACAGCACCGTCCCCAGGGTGCTGATGCCAACATCGTCGTAGTCTGTCCCCCCCGGGGGCTGTGCCGGGGGGTCTCTTGTGGCTCCTGGGGGACTTGGCGAGGGGCAGCTCCCACCTTAGGGGACAGCAAAGGCTGGTGCCTTGGAGGGGGGGCTGCTTCATGTCCCTCCTGCCAGACCCCGGCTGGGGTCTTGCCGCAGCCCCCATAGATTCGCTGCCTGCTCCCTGCCCGCCACCGCAGCCAAAGCCCCCCCCCAGAGGTGGCTCTCCAGGGGACAGGGCGGCTGCGGCCCCTCTTACCTGTGGGTGGGACACAGCCCCAGCTCCTCTGTGCCACCCCCTCAGAGATGTCCCCAGCGCCGGGAGCGGGGGACTCCTCCGGCACGGCTGTGGCATCGTCATAGCCATCCGGGGGGCCGTGCTGGGCAGGGGAGTCTGGGACAGGCACGGGGGTGGACAGGAATGAACCGGAGCCCGTGGCAGGGGTCTGGCTGTGCCACCCCCCTCCGGCCACGCCACCGGGGATGTCCTGGTGGCACCGGGGCTGCAAGCTCTCAGCCAGGGCTGCAGCAGGGATTAATCAGCAGGGAAAGGTTGATGCTTCGCTGCATGCTAACGAGAGCCGCAGCTGAGCTGGGCTCGCCCGGGCGAGGAGGGGCCGTGTCCCCTTGGCTCCCCAGCCCCAGCGCCTGGCCACCTCCCCTCTCCCCGGGTCTCCCCACCAGGTTCCTGCCCCCGTGCCCCTACCTGGGGCTGCCTTGGGGTCACTCTCCTCCATGCTGCCCTCGCTGTAATACGGCAGCT